AGTGACCACAATGACGGAACCCTGTGGGACTCCTGTCTCTTCCGCTCGCATTGAGGAGTGGTGGTTGGAACGACGCCAGAAAGTCTTTCATCCGGAAGGTTAAAGAAGACATCGTCCGATGGGAGGATCCTAATAACCATTAAATGCAAGTGAACGGGCCACACCCGCATATCGTACACCGGCCCTTTTCTAAAGATAAGCGAGGCGTGCCAAATATATCACTCCGTCGAACATGCCATCCACTGTCCTCAATACGAGGGCCCACGCATGTAATACGACATTGCTGGAAGCATCCGGGATGACCCGGCCAGAATTGCGGCCCTCGAAGGTTTTCTCCGAGAAGCCGGCCTCTTCGATGCAATTTAATCGGACAGAACACGACACTACTTTCGACAGTGCACCCCTTCACAAAGTCTGCTGTCCACAAACCAGGACCACTTCTACCCCCACAAGGACAACGAACTAAACATTCAAATATATCACGACCAGACAAGAACTCGTTCAACCGACCAACGCAACGAAAACAACACCCCAAGGTAAACGACCCGACAATATCGACAAATACCAAACGACTATCGACAGCAAAGACAGCTTACGGCACTCCCTTCTGAAGGGCCACCAATCCTTGGGGGGAGGCCCCAAATAACAGTGGAAGTCCCTTCCGGGTTCCCAAAATCCCCTTTAATAAAAAAACAAACTCTGCTTCTTGGGGGGTCCTTGAAAGTCTCTGGGTCTGTTCATAAACTACGTAGACAGTTTTTTGGGATTCTTGACCACCCCCCTCCCCCTGCGTAAACAATTGTCCATACAATAATTTTAAAATTTGTATGAGCCGTGGATAATTGTCGACCCCTCCCCCCCCATAAACTGTCTACGTAGTTTATGGACAGCCCCTCTTCAATGAAGAAAACCATCCTAATAAAACAAATTCCAAGAAAAATTAAAGACAGAAAAGGCCGCTATCATAGTTGATTTTACAAGGCAAATCAGCCATAACAACGGGCATTTGTGGATTCTATCAACCTTGTCCTTAAGTTACTTTCAGGGGAATACAGAAAAAATGTTCTAGATAAGTTGAAAGAATATCTTCTTAAACAAAATTTCTGGAGAATAAACCAATGAAGTCAGAGGAAGTTGGAATCATCTTCGGGAACGTCTGATGCCTCCGTCGGCCTTGAAGTCAAAAAACCTGGATTCCAAGTCGAGAACATTTGATATCCTATCTTTAATAAAGAAAGATAAGAAAGATAAGATTTGATATTCTTTTCGGAAACGTCCGGAGCTTCCGTCAGGGTCGTCTGAAATCGTCTTCGGGAACTTCTGGAATCTCCGTCTTGAAAGTCTGAAATCGTCTTCGAGAACATCTGGAATCTCCGTATGGAGCGCCTGGAATCATCTTCGGGAACGTCTGAAATCCAAGTCGCGGACGTCTAGAATTATATTCAGGACCGTCATTCTGAACCACCGAGAACGTTTGGAATCATCTTCACGAGCGTCTTGAATCTCCGTCGGGATCGTCTGGAATCATTTTCTGGATCGTCTGAAGCCTAAGTTGGGAATTTCTCAAATCTAAGTATGGAATGTGTGGAATCTTCTTCGCAAACATCGGAATCATCTCAAGGAACGTCTGGGCCCTTCGTCGGGATCGTTTGGAATCTCCTTCGGGATTGTCTTGAATCACTTTCGAGAACGATATGAAGCCTAAGTCGAGAACGTCTCGAATCTAAGTCTGGAAAGTCGGGAATCATCTTCTGGAGCGTCTAGAATCTCCTTCGGGATCATCTGGAATCATTTTCGGGAACGTCTGGCATCATCTTCGGGAACGTTTCGAATGACGTTCGGGAACGGCTGGAATGATCTTCAGGATCATATGGAATCGCCGGCGGGAACGCCTGGAAACTTCGTCGGGAACATCTCGAATCTAAGTTTGGAACGTCTGGAATCCAAGTCGAGAACGCTTGGAATCATCTTCGGGATCATTTTAAATATCCGCCTGGATCGTTTGGAATCTCCATATGGAGTGTCTGGAATCAACTTCGGGAACGTCTCGAATATTTGTCAAGAACTTCGGGAACGTCTGGTGTCTAAGTAGGGAACGTCTGGCATCTTCGTTGAAAACGTTCGGAATCTTCATTGGGAACGTCTCCAATGATGTTCGGGAATGGCTGGAATCCAAGTTCGGGAAAAGTCAAATTTCCATCGGGAAAGTCGGGATTCTGTCAGAAACGTGTGGAATCATGTTCTGGAACGTCTGGAATCATCAACCGGATCATCTGGAATCGCCGTCGAGAACGTTTCGAATTTAAGGCTGGAACGTCTGGAATCCAAGTGTGCTGGAGTGTCTGGAATCTACTTCGGGAACGTCTGGAAACCTCCGTCGGGAACGTTTGGAATCTGTCGGAAACGTTTTGAATCATGTTCGGGAACGTCTGGAAACCTCCGCCGGGAACGTTTCCAATCGTAGCCTAGAACGTCTGGAGTCGAGAAGGTCTAGAATCATCTTCTGGATCATCTGGAATCTCCATCGGGAACGTTCGGAATTCTCGTCAAGAACGTCTAAAATCATCTTCGGGAACGTCTGGAATCTCCGTAGAAAATGTTTGAAATCTTCTTCGGAAATGTCTGGAATCTCCGTCGTAAAGATCTGTAATCATGTTCGGGAAAGACTGGAGTCCAAATTCGGAAAGTGTCAGAATTTCGTCGCGAAAGTCTGTAATCTGTCGGAAACGTGTGGAATCATGTCCGTCAGGAACGCCTGGAAACTCCGTCGGGAACGTTTCGAATGTAAGTCTGTAACGTCTTGCATCCAAGTCGAGAACGTCTGGAATCTTCTTCGGGAACAGCTGGAATCATTTTAAATCTCCGTCTAGAACGTTTGTAATCTCCATCTGGAGTGTCTGGAATCAAATTCGGGAACATCTGAAACCTCCGTCGGGTGCGTCTTGAATCTTTATCAAGAACTTCGGGATGGTCTAGTATCTAAGTAGCGAACGCCTGGCATCTTCGTTGAAATCGTTCGGAATCTTCATCGGAAATGTCTGGAATTTTCGTCGGGAACGACTTGAATGATGTTCGGGAGCGACTGCAAGCCAAGTTAGGAAAGTTTTAAATTTCTATCGGAAACGTTGTGAATCATGTTCGGGAACGTCTGGAAGCATCTTCTGGAACGTCTCGAATCATAGCCTAGAACGTCTGGAATCCAAGTCGAGAAGGTCTAGGAATATCTGGAATCTCCATTGGGAACCGTCTGGAATCACGGAGATGAACTAGCGAAAGGCTTAAAATCTCCTTAATAAAGATTAAACAAAGAAGTCTGGAATCTCCCTCTGGAGTGTCTGGAATAATCTTCGGAAACGTCTGGAATCTTCGTTGAAATTGTTTGGAAGTTTCGTTGGTTATGTCTGGAATCTCCGTCGTGAACAACTGTAATCATGTATGGGAACGCCTGGAACGCCGTCGGGAAAGTCTGGAATCTTTGTCGGAAACGAGTGGAATCATGATCCGAAACGTCTCGAATCTAGGTTGAGAATTTTTATCCCCGTCTGGAATCTGTCGTGAAGTGCTGGAATTCTGGTCGGAAATATCCGAAATTATCTGATGTTCTGCAAACTTCAGCGTAGTTTTTTTGAAAAATCTGCGAGCTTCAGGGACATCAAGCGAAATTCTAAACTTCAGTTCTAGTTCTGCAAACTTTAGGGCGGTCTACAAACTTCAGGATACGTTTGGCGAATTATAAGTAAATTCTGCGAACTTGAGAGAACGTCTGTGAACACATGTAAGTTCTACAAACTCCAGGAAAGTTCTACGAACTTCAATGAAGATTTCCGAACTCGGGGACAATTTTATGAAATTCAATAAAGTTCTGCGAACATTCTTGCAAACTCTCGAGTAACAGAGATATTCAACCAAATTCAAAGAAGTTGATTGAACTTCAGAGAAAGAAGTTCTACAATCTTCAGAGAAGTTCTACAAACTTCAGGAAAATTCCGCAAATTTCAGGGACGTTTTACGAGCTTTAGGGAAGTTCAATGTCCTTCCGGTATTCTCTACGAACTTTAAGAGAGTTCTGAGAACTCTTAGCCATGATAAGAACTTTATTGTAGCTCTGCAGACTCCATGAAAGCTCTACAGCAATAAAAAAACTTCTTCGAACGTCTTGAAAGTTCTGCAAACTTTGAAGACGTTCTGCGAACCGCAGGGAACATTTAATAACATCTGGAAAGTACTGTGACCTTTAAGAAAAATCTGCTAATTCCAGCAAAATATTGCCAAATTCAGAGACGTTCTGCGAACATCAAAGAAGTTCTAAGAACAGCAGGAAAGTTTCAAGAACCCAGAAAAAATTATGAACTTGGATTTTAAGGTGATTCCTTGTAGAGTCCACAAATGGCCGCCAAATGCACTTCCACTTCGAATTTTCAATTACACAAATCTCGGAAATTAGAGTTCCATTTCACCTGAAATTGCTACTGCATGTATGCTGCAGCGCAGCAAACGTGGAGTAACAATTTAATTATAGTACATGTCGTGGAAGCTAATATTTGTGCACTTTAAGTTTTGAAATGGTAGCGAGAATAAGGATCTCACAGCGAACCACCTCAATTTGAATGTAGCTTCTATGAGTTGTCTTGTCGGGGCGTTGGTGGAACAACTTCTACTCCTTGATAGATAAAACAGGTATTTGTTGCGATATATCTTACTCTATTACGCTACCCTAATGGAATGTGATAAGAGTTCGCCACTTAAATAAATATCCTGAGTACGGCGCTGGCAATACCATGGCGAAAGGTTGAGACGAAGTGAACAACTTCACTTTTCGCATGGTACCTAAATCATTTCCATTTAAACATCAATGCTATTCCAGTGCAATCATAAAATGAGCTAAAATTCTGAGATTATAATCGGGACGTGATTTGGAGTGTGAGCAAAATCGAAAATTTGAAATCACCAACCCGTGTCTTCTGTTTAATCTTATCCAATTTTTCCCGTTTTTCCCCCAGTTACAATCTCATCTTCTGGAGCCGCGGGTTCCTCCCATGGAAGGACGAAAAGATGCTCAACCAACCGGAGCAGGTGCACCGTATGAAGGAGTACTTTATGACCGACGTCCGCGAGATGCTGAAAACCATCTACGGCGAGGACTGTCCCAAATACCTGGGCGAATTCCTGCACTACGTCGGTGGTCTAACGTACGACGAGCGGCCGGACTACGACTACCTTAGGTCGCTCTTCTTCCAGGAACTGCAACGGATCGGCTACAAACCGAAAGCCCATCTCAAGCTGATCGTGGAGGACATCGCCAAACTCAGCCAAAGGTTGACCGGACAGGACGAAGCGGAAATCACCAACAAAATCAATCACGTCAAATCGTTAATGAAGCTGGGCGTCCTCCCGTATCGCGAAAGTACGTTGCACAACAAGACAACTTCGCCGAAAAATCTCCGCTCCAAGCGGGACAGCACCCGAACGCCCGCCAATGGGAAAACGAACGGCACCACGGCGAAGAAGGAGAAGAAGTTTTGCTGGTCCGAGATCCTCAGCACCGACCCGGACCAGATTGCGCGGGAGCGGGCGGAGAAGGAATTCGAGCGGGCTGATCAGATGGAAGAGGTTGTGATTAGGTACAGCGGCAATCCGACGTACGCGATACGGGAGCTGGAGAACAAGAAGGAGAACCCTATGGAATACATGGAGAGCGAAGACTACATCAAAGGGTACACCAAACCGATGATGGATATCCTGAGGAAGCGGCAATCGCAACTCATGAAGGATATCAACGGCGCGAGCGGGTTGACCAACGAAGTGAAGGAACCGCCCGATGACAAAGAGGACGAGGAAGATGAGCAACAGGAAGAAGATGATGAGGAGGAAGTAGAAGAAAATGGTAGTGAGAGTGAAGAAGAAGACGAAGATGAGGAAGAAGTGACATTGCAAGAAGATGAGGATGAGGAAGAAGAAGAAGAAGAAGATGCAGTGGAAGCGGATTCCGGTAACGACGACGTGGATGGCGAAGAAGAAGAGGAAGAAGAGCAGATCCATGATAGGAGAAAATTAACTCAGGGTAAAAAGCAGGTATCACGAAAGTTGGGTCGAACGACCAAAGCCGCCGCGATTAGTAGAAAAGAAGAAAGTGATAGTGATTTTATTAATGATGCCGAAGAGGAAGATGAGGAAACCCTACGTGCGAATGAGCAGGAGCTGAAGGACGACGAGGACGGAGCCGCGTCGGAAGCTTCGGAAGTGATAGGTAAGTGGTGAAGTGCGCTGATAAAGAGCACTGAATTTAACAAACAGGGACAGTTTTGAAGTTTGCTAGGATAACTTTGCCAGTTGGGGATTGCTTGCATTAGTTTCTACCGTTTCGTTGTGTGTGTGTCTTACCCCCATACTTGACCGATCAGTTTTTGTTGTGTTGTTAGGTGTGTCCTTACGCGGTTCCAGGTCCTTTCATATTAAAGAGATTTATGGTAAAAATCGCTTGTGTATCGTGTATTTTGCGTAACTTGTTGTTGTCGAAGGCGCCGGTTTTGAATGGTTACAACAACTTAGAGCAACCGTTTTTGTTTACTGAACAGAACATCATGAGTCTAATCTCAGGCCCATCCATATTCAAGATTCGTCAATCGTTTTATTTAATAATATGACTACATGGTAATAACAGCAACTCGATGATTAAAAAGGTGCTCGTCTGCCTAGTGGCAAACGTTTTTGCTTACTGAGCAGAAGAACGTGGTTTTAATCCCAAGCTCCTTCGCGTTATATGATCGTTAGGACATCAATTCAGCTTATCGTTTACCAAAACGAACCCTGCTGCAAACCCAACCCTCTTATCCAACATCCCAGTGATTCCTCGTGGAAGTGCAGAGGTGTTCTTGGCTTCCATCAAAGCGAGTGTCACGTCAACACATTCCTTCCCATTCCTTTCTTGACCTGTGTTCGGGCGCGGCCGGCGCTGGTATTGTCTAATTTGAGATCACCAGTTTTTACACATTGTGGATGATTGCTAGTCCCATGAATCGTCTATTGGTTCTCTGTGTAATTACAGCTGATCTGGCAATAACAGAGTAGCAACCGTGGGCGGTCAATCAAGCTCAAGCTTTCGTTGTGTGTGTGTCCTACCCACAATCATTTTACGTTCTCGATTTGCTGTTAATATTGGCTTCTGGTGATGACGATCATGAAGCTCAGCATTAGTGAGCCAGTTTACACCGTGGTTGGAATTCATATGAAGTCTCCATGAATTAATAACCGTGGCCTCGGAACCCCAAATATGTGCCTGTTAGTTTAAACCACCACACAACACCACATCTCACTTCCCATTTTATTCAATCTCCTCCTCAGGCAAACCACGCAGCGGTCGCAGACGAACCTTGCCCTCGGAGAGCAGCGACCAGAAGGATAGTGATTTTAACGATCAGGAAAGCTCGGAGTACGAAAGCCGAGAATCGCGTGGTCCACCGAGACCACGCGGTCGACCAAGACTGAACCGGGATCGGCCAAAGGCCGGAAAACTCTACTCAAAAGCCAACGCCGGCAACAACACAAAAGTTCCTGTGATAGCCAGAAATAACAATAATAATAATAACAACCACCACCACCACAAGCCGTATTACGGAGACGTGGATTATTCCTCCCACGAAGCTCCTCTGCAGCAGCAGCAGCAACAGCACCACCAGGATCAGCAGCAGCAATATCGGCTAATGAAGCGTCGTAAGTCCGGCCTTCGGGAACGGATACGACCGACCGCTCGCAGCATTACGTACCAGGATGATCTGCAGCAGAAACGATCCCGCAAATCGTCCCAAAAGCGGTACAGTGACGACGAAGACTACTGCCAAGTGGACGAATCTTCCTGCAGTTCAAGTCATTCGGCAACCTCGGTCGCGTCCGCAAGTACGGTGGTGAGCGTTGCTTCGGATTATTCCGACTGCTCACCTAATGCAACTCCGAAGCGTAAATCATCCCGGAAACGGGTGATACGAACCTTCTCCAACAGCAGCCGCTCGGTCCTGTCCTCCAATTCACGTTCCTCTTCCCTACACAACGGAGCGGCAGCAGTCAATGGCACTGTCGCAGCAACCAACGGCCACGGAATCTACTCCGGTCGGCGAGTATATCCGGACGATGAGGATGACTTCTTCGACGATGATGACACCCGGGACATGGACTACAGTCCGGTGAAATCGAAACGTACGCGGAAGCCAACCAGCTCCCGCAAGACTATCACCTCGATGAAGAAGAGAAACGGCGAAAGCAGAGGTAAGTAACGATTCATATAAAGCCCTCTCCTCCTCAACATGTGTCGGATCTCGCAGCAGCCGCTTCGGTCATCACCATCACGGTCTGGTCCTAACTCCCTGAATTTTCAGCCAATCTACCCAATACTATACTACGCATAGATCATCCGAGACCCGGTTCTAATGAATGTCCACATTTGTTCTTTTTTCTCTTTTTCGTTTTCGGTTTCTCTTTTTTCTTTTTCTCTTTCTCTTTACCATTCGTTTTCCCTCCCCCGGTGGGACAACACTTTTGTTCTTTCCCGTTTTAGGATCGTTTTCGCTCGTCTAAGCCACGTACACAATACAATGGGGGTCTTCTCTTCGGTACTTTCCGCTTCTCTGGTGTGGTGTGACGGGGGGTGGGCGGGGAGCAAGGATGCATGATGAACGGTAGCGTAAGTGGCCTTCCGGGTGAACCGTGGATGAAGTCTGGATTTATTATTTTGCTAACCGATATTTCACTAACTCTTGTTCTTGGCAATGGGATCTTTGAGTACTGCTACACATAAGACTGATATTTTAAAACATAATTTTAGAACAAATTGCGGCTGATTGGTCTCAGAGCACAAGCTGCAGTACAATGATCGTTCTTAGTAAGTTTGATTACTTAAGTTGATATGCTTATTTCAGCAGAATGACGGAGGAGGGCTTACATAATATCGGGTAAGACTGACAGTGAAACTAGAAAAAAGCCATTTCTGATTACAGTTTTAAATTTAGAAATGACCAATTAACCTTTTTGTCGAACCAATTCTTATTTGAACACGATTATTGTCTTTTTGTGAACCAATAGTGTCTTACGTTGTGAAATTTTAGGATCAAAATGTTGACAGGCGGTCAAGACTGAAACCGACGCCAGGCTGCAAAAAACATAAGTTTGGAATGATTACATGGGTAAGTGAACCAATGAAATGTTTGCTCGTCATAACTTGTATTATGCCATCTGAGCTAAACATCTCAAGCAACATTGTAAGTTCTATCAAAGTTTTAAAACATCCGTCAAGAGCTAACCATGATTTACAAGACTAAAACCAAAATCCAACGGGGGGACACCAGTACAAGCCATAAATTTGTCGCAGAATACCCCCATTTGACCTCACTGTCACATGATTGAATTGCTTGATTCCTAATAATTTTACTTTCTTTTTTCAAGTCGCTCATTTCGACTATAGTCCTCCTTCTTCTCTTTCTTTTCGTTTTTCTCTTTTTATATAGTTGCAGGTTTTTTTTTCTCTTCTAGCAGAAATCTATCCGGTATCCAATTTACATATGAAGCACATGTTTTCAATGCCGTCATCAAAGATACTCGGCGTAACTTTTTCGTATTTCCCCAGCATCAACACGATGTCTCAAGATCGAGCTGTTGGCGGAAGATCGAACGGTCGCTCCATTTAGAATTCCAAAGCCATTTTCGGTTTTCTCTGGTTGAAAAGTTTCTGTTCATTAACGTACTGCGGGGGGATTGACAAACTTCAATCCAATCGATAAGTTCCAATAGTTATTTACTTGATGGGCTACTGTAACAATCTATATCTAATAATCATATATATCAACGCCGAACGGAGAATCATTTTCCACTATTTCAGTTTTTCTAATTTTTCACATAGTTCGCAGCACTTAACACTTTAAAATTCCGAAAGCACTACCGCTAGCTTCTTTCAACGCCCACGAGTCATGGCTATCGGAATTATCAATGTGTTACACAAGGTTACGCAATCTGTAATAAGCCCTATTTGCACCTCGCCGGTAACGCCATTGTTGCAGGTCACTAAGATATTGCGGGTGGTCACGCACCAAAAATAATCCCTCAGAAAAAAATCCCTCAGATAGTTTTCAAAGTTCTATCAACACTAGTACATATGTGCAAATTGAGTACCTATTTTAAGCGCAGGAGTCTACTTTGGTGCAAAATGCGCAATACACAAATTCTTCCACTATTTCAAACTTATCATCAAAGCACCACTTTATTTAAATTCCAGATGGTTGAGTCCTCTCTAGAAATACCCATAATTGTGATGTCTTGAAGCTATTTGGAAAGCTAGTCGCATGGGTCGGCCAAGCAGGATTTGAGCAGGTGATTTCCCACCAGGCGCACTACGACAGGGTATAATAGATCTGTAGCAATTTAGGAAGATATCGAGTGCTTCGTCCAGGCCCTTCCCCTCAAGCCTGAATCTACTTGACCCTCCTTTTAAAGGTGTCAACGAAGCGTTCCGCCTGTCCGTTGCCTTGGGGGTGGAACGGTGCCGTTTTGAGATGCATTATCCCGTTTGCCTCACAGAATTCCTCGAAGGTGTCGCTAGTAAGCTGCGGACCGTGGTTGGTCACCAAAACTTCCGGCCACGGCTGTCATCTGATCACTCAATGCGCGAAATGTACTGATGGTTCTGTGTGAGAATCAAGCAAACACAAAGTTTGCTTGTCTTTCACCCTGCGTAAGTGCAAATGGGAAACCCAGCAAAAAGACCAAATTCTTCTTCGTTATGCACTTCTTCATCTCCTATGCATGTAGTAGTGGTAAGCAAAGTCTGCAAAGAACTCAAAGAAGACATGGGCGCTTCTTGTATTATATTCGCTCCCTGCACCGCACTGAGTGTACCGCTCATTGTGTGGATCGCTTTCTCAAAAATTAGTTGGAAAAGAGTGTGCAAAGCAAATGAGAGAACCACACACTCTTTGTCGAGTGTTATGAGATGCATGCACAATGTTGCTATGCAAACGCTCTAAGGCACTTTCCAGCCCTACTTCCGGCATATCAAATGTTCCGAAGAACTTTTGAAGACTCGACACTGAGGCAGCGGTGGTTATGCGTTTGGTCGGAATGATTTCTGGCCATTTGGAGAATGAATTCATCACTAGTAGGAAGTGTGTGTCGTTGATGGGACCAGCGAAATCTGCCAAGGTTTATCTGGGGTCGGCCACGATTCAAGTTTTGTCTTAGTGTCAGCTTTTGCGACCGAAGCGCATTCCTGACAAGCGCGTACTAGCGTGGTGATTTGGTCATCGATATTGGGCCAATAATCGAAATTGCGCGCTAGTGAACGCATGCGATCGATCCCTGGGTGTCCTCTGTGCTGTTGCTGAATTTTCTGGTGCAGCTTCTTCGGAACTACGATCCGGTCACTGTACATCAGGGCTTTGTGGGCCGCATACAGCAAATGTCGACGTGCAAAGAACTGCTGGTCCTCAGGTGTTCTGGAGAGAGACTTGACATCACTTGGCCAGCCCTTGTATACGAAATCCATTACTTTCTGCAATGTCCGAACCTGGGTGGTCTATAGTCGCTATATTCATAGTCTGGCGGATAGAATTTCGATCTATCAAAAAGCGGAACCAATTCATATATTGTAGACCAACAATTGAAAAGGGATTATCAACTTTTATAAATAAAACGTTGATTATTCTTTCGTCGTCAATCCTGGTGCACCACAGGGTTCGGTTATCCGGGTCACCTTTTTCTTAATTTGTATGAATGGAGTTTTCGTTAACCTTCCTAAGGAAATTTACATCTTTGTGTACGCGGACGACATTATCCTTCTGATCAATCACAAAACCATAAAGGCGCTACGTAGAAAGATGGGCGCTGGCACAAGGGCAGTCTCCCTGTGGACATCACTGACTGGCTTCCAACTCTCAGCCGAAAAATGCTCTGCTCTCACCATCATGCCGTCCTTAACACTCCCATCTGTATCAATGGTACAGCTATTCCCATCAGGAGGTCAGCCCGTATCCTCGGAGTTCGAATTGACCGATATTTGACCTTTTCTGCCCACTTCGACGAAGTCAAGAACGCCTGCAAGACACGTCTTAATCTGCTACGATCCATCGCAGGTCGACACCCAGGCAGTAACCGGCCCATTCGTCTTCGAGTTGCTAGAACAATTTTAGAATCACGTCTCCTTTATGGAATCGAAGATACCTGTCTCGCTCGCGAACAACTTATTACGAAACTAGCCTCTGCATACCACCAAGCTATCCGTATCTCATCCGGCCTACTACCATCCACGCCTGCAATTGCAGCTTGCGTGGAAAGTGGAGTACTACCATTCAACCTTCTAGTTACTCAGACCATCTGCAACCGATCAATTAGCTTCGAGGAGAAGACAGCTGGCTCAGATGAAGGAGTTTTCCTCCTTACCGAGGCCAAACAACTCCTTTCAGCCACGGCCAATCTGGAGCTCCCCCCGGTGTCTAGCATACATTGGTGTGGAACCAGAGATTGGAACCTGCCCGGGCCCATTATCGACTTGGTGATAAAGAAGAAGTTCAAGGCAGGATCCAACTCTACGGCACTTGTGAGATCCGTCGCGACTGCAACCACACTATCCGTTACTCCGATGGATCGGTTTCCCGTGAAGGGGTTGGCATCGGCATCACGGGCCCCAAATGTACGTACTTCATCGACTTCCAGACCAGTACACTATATTCTCGGCTTTTATTGCTGCTACCACTCCCTCAAACAAGCCGATTGCCGTATTTACGGACTCCGCAAGTGTAGTTTTAGCCCTCAACTCAGACTCTATTAAGCACTCATGGATCCAAGCCATTCAGCGATATGCCCCCAGAAACACTACTTTTGTATGGATTCCGGGCCACTGCGGCATTCGTGGTAATACGGAGGCGGATCATCTAGCGGCTTCTGGAAGACGAGCCCAACTGTTCACCAAGGAGGTTCCATCGAGGGACCTGGAAAAATTGGGTTGCCAACAAAATCTGGGACTTATGGTGAAATACATGGTCCCAATCAACTAGCATTTTCCTTAGAAAAGTGAAGGCTGACACACGAAGATGGCAAGACCCCCCTGACCACCGAACTCAGGTTGTCCTGGCAAGACTCAGAACAGGCCATACCAGAGTCTCGCATAACTTTTCTGAGAGCGGCCCGTTCCGGAAATTTTGCATCATCGGATAGGGGAAACTTTCCTCAACCCAAAAATGGTGTTAGTTGGCGTAGGCGAGCCTTGAGTCACGAGGGTTTCC